CCCTCCCTCCCTCTACCCCCTCTTCTTCTCTCTCCTTTCTCGCTTCCTTCCTTCTTTCCTCCCTTCCTACTTTCCTCCCTCCCTCCCTTCCTTCCTTCCTTCCTTCCTTCCTTCCTTCCTTCCTTCCTTCCTTCCTTCCTTCTTTCCTTCCTATTCTCTTTCTTTTTTTTGTTCTTATGAGAGAACCAGCGAGGGGACAAACCTATTGTCCTGCAACTCCACTTTACCGCAATGACCCAAAAACCTTCTTAGTATTTTATATTTTTAAGCCTTTACCCATCTCTCTTCTGCCCTGAAAAGTCAGGCAACTTTATTCATGCTTCCCAAGAAAACAAAACCCCACAATATGATTAAAAATGTATTCTTGCAATATACTACTGCCAGTAGTAATAATAATAATCAGGAGCAGCAGCAACAGCAAGATAGGAGTATTAGTCCTAGAAAACTTGGAACTAAGCTAGAAGGTTTTTCAAAGACCTCAGCTGACAGTTGATAGTGTCTACTCTGAGTTGCAGGAGTGGCAAGTGGCCTTCCTTGAAACTTTCGGAAACCATTCATGGTAAGCTCACCCCTCTCAAGTCTGAGAGCCAGAGTGGGCTAAAGCAGAGGCCTGGACCTTGCCCTGGGCAAAGGTGCCAGGGTGGCCAGCCTGTAGGTGCAGCTACTTGGTGCTCCGTGCTCAGAGATGGGGCATGGGCCCTGCACCCTCACATTGCCCCTCCTTTTCCAGTTGACTGCAGCAGCAACTAGAGGTTTCCAGCTCATTTCCTTCCCCCCGGAGCTCCAGATGGTCACTAGCAAAGCTGGGAGTGGGGGACAAGTGGGTGGATGACATCTCCCCCCATTCCCCTTTATCTTGGTTGGTTTGGTTTCCTTCTATTTCTGCATAGCAAGGACAGCTTTTCTTTAGAGCTAGGATGGCGGGGAAGCCCAGGACATACTCTGAAGCTCTGGGCATGGAGGGTAAGAATCATTTCTCATTTTGGCTCCAACATCTAATGGCGTTAACAACCCTAAGCATCTAATTAAGGCTGCCAAGCCCCCATCACAGCCAAAGGGGTCACATTTTAAAACCAGGAAAGTCACAACATGTGACTTGGCAGACCGCTGCTTCTCAAAATGTTCACAGGCAACAAAGTGTCAACAGTGGAACACAAAAGGGGGAAAACAAGGTTTTGTATGTGAGTGTTGAAAGGAATGGTAGCTTTTATGCTTCTGTTCTGTGTGTGTTTCTTTCCCTAAAAGGGAAAAGCCTCCCAGGCTTGTCAGGGCTGTGGAGGGGAGGGGAGCCCTGGATGTAGCTCCCACTGCGGTTCCTCTACGTTCCCCCAAGTCTAAACTCAGCTCTGCTGCTTGGTGACTAATTGGCCCCTTGGCTTACACCCAGGGTTCTGTAAGTCAGCACTCTACGCCAGACACCTGGTCATTGAACGTCTTCCCAAGCCGGTGACTACTTCACTCCACTTTTTCTTTCCCCACTTGAGGTTGGTGGGCAGAGGGGCCATTGATCACTCACACTCTTGGCTCCCTCAGGCTTTCTGGGCACACAGGCCTTCCTGGAAGCAGCTGGCTTGGCAACACTGGACCAGGAAGCACGCAGTGAGGGCGCACTCACCAGCTTTTGGAGTCGAGTATCGAATATCATGCAGACAAATGTAATATTAAACCAGCCTTAACTTTGTGAGCTCCACAGTGCACTGCCCTTTAAACTGCTGATTGGACAACACACACACACACACACACACACACACACACACGCAGAGGCATGCACTCTAGAGGTGAAATTCCACTTGGGGACTCCTAGCACCGAATAGCTTAGAGAGACAGTGTCTCCTTTGTTAATCACAGACAATAGGGTTGTGTAGTAACAGGGGAGGTAAGCAATAGATTCCATCTATAAACTCTATTTTAGGCTAATTTGAGCAGCTTAGTGGCCACTAAATATCCACCCTCTTACTGCGCAGGAAGATATGCGCAAATGTGCCTCTTCCCCTCCTCAGAATGACTTCTTAAAATAAGCCAGCTTTTCACACACTCTCTTTTTTTTTTTCTTGCCGGGAAAGTGTGTGTTCTGTTCTGCACCATTTAGAGTGCGAGCTTCAGGGCAGTGTTGGTCCTGCATCTGTAGCCTTCCCTGCGACGTACAGAAGGCAGAGTAACGTGCGACCTTCCTTTGTTAATGGAAAGTTCAGGATTTTCCTGAAATTCGGCCTGCAGTGTTGCAGAGGTTGATGTGGAGTTTCTCACAGACAGGAAAATTTATTTGACGGTCCAAGTTTATATTCTCCCGCCCTCTCTCTCTCTCTCTCTCTCTCTGTCATCCTCTTCCAACAGCAAGCACCACAGATGATATGTCTCTGTGTACATCATTTGCACTAAGGCCCTAGAACATGCATTTCTATTGAAGACCACATCTGAAGACTTACAAAAGTAGAGCCTGATAGCTCTATCCTGGTTAATATCTACTGGTGCCTGGCCAGAATTCTGAACTAGAAGCCTCACCTAGGGCTTCTATTTCTGTACATTTATAATAATAATAAAGGCTAGTTTGGATGATGATACATTCAAGGACAGATCCCTTCCTTATTGTAGGGAAAGAGTTTTTATTATCAATTTAAGTAGGCGCACATTATTTTTATGAAGGAGCTCTCCCACCTGTATAATGTTATTGCATCTGTCTACCCTGGAGTAGGCAAAGGAAATGTCGAGGCATGATTATCACAGTTGTTTGGCAGATAGATCACATGTAGGAAGGACACCAGTGTGTGTTTCCCTTCTTCTCTATAATATACAATTTTATTTTGGGGGACACATAACTGATGAAAAAATTATAAATTATTAATAAATTGCTTGAGTCAAAATGTGCTGTGTCAACCATGGAAAGTCAAGGTTGCTGAGAATCCACTAACTTGCATATTACCATGTGGTCTATCATTTTCAAACAAAGGCATTGGGTGAGTTTTTCAGGGCTCTGATCTGAGCCCATACCTGGGTCCATAGTTTGTGGTCCCGTCTCATTTGCGGCTTTAGCTTTTACATTGGAAGCTATAGCTCAGCTCTTGCAAATAATTTTGTAAACTTTTGTTTTCCTTTCACCATTTTGCTTCCCTCCCTGTGAATCACTTGATCGGGAAGGCCTTGTCAAAAATTTCCCCCAAATCTGGTCTCAAATGAGAGGGTCTGAGAAGTTTTTTATTTTTGCTAAATTCAGGAGGTCAGATAGCACCTGAGAGTAGGACTCTGGCCTCAATCACAGCTCTGTCCTTTACAGGCTCTCTCATCTTGGCTAAAGGACTTGACTGCCCTGTGCCTCAGTATTCAAATCTATTAAATGGGCCAGTAACTACATTTCCTCCCTAGCATCACTGGGGCAATGAAGCAAGGTGAAGGTCTTGGAGCAGTGCCAGGCACACAACAAGCCTGGAAAGTCTTTATCAGCAGCTGCAGCAGGAGAACCAGGAGAAAGACCCTGTTTTAGATTGCTTTCACTCTGGTCCAACTGTCTGTTCCAGGATAGTGACTCACCCAAGGAGAAGGCAAAGAAAAAGTGGAAGAGGGAGGTGGTAATAGCTTTTATATAGGCTTTCGTGAAACTTAAAGCCTAACCAACGGAGTTGGTTTTAAAGTATTTCTAAAAATTCTGGCATATTGGTGCATACCTACAATCCCAGCTACTCAGGAAGCTGAGGTAGGAGAGTTGTAAGTTTGAGGCCAGCTTGGGCAACTTAGCAGAGCCTGTCTTAAAAAACCAAAGAACAAAAACCAGAGAGAAAGGAACACACAGACTGGCCTAATCCCCCTGCTTGGGTGTGGGCTACATTTA